GCACATTTCACTATAATATTTAACTGTCTGCCTTCTTAATGACCTTTTGCTTTCTTCCTGTATGATGTTTTTGATGTCATTCCACAACTCCTCTGTTCTTCTGTCGTTAATGTCTAATGCATCCAATTTGCTCTTGAGGTACTCTCTAAATTCAGGTGGGATACGTTCAAGATCATATTTTAGCTTTTGTGGAATTGTTTTCATTTTTTTCAACTTCAGTCTGGATTTGCATGTAAGCAATTGATGGTCTGTTACACATTCTGTTCCTGGCCTTGTTTTGGCTGATGATATGGAACTTTTCTACTGTCTTTTTCGACAGATGTAATCAATTTTATTTCTGTGTAATGGTGAAGTCCATGTGTAAAAGGATGAGTCAAAAATTATTCACCGTCTGGTTAAATTAAAATGCCCGTCTATGTCCATGGCTGATGACAACACTGAACATGCATGTGAAATAATTCTGTGGAATAGATGAGTGACAGTGGATTATGTGGCAAGTCATCTGTAAACCAATCATCGCTCTGCCTATGAAACAATCCATGAAAGACTTGGTTTTCAAAATGTTTGTATGAGATGGGCATTAAAACAACTCTGGACGAGCATAAACAGAAGTATTCAGATGCTGGCAAACAAAACTCGGACCAATACTCAAAGGTAAAAGTTTCTTTAAAAAAAATCATTATTGGTGATGAGCATGGATTCATTATTATGAGTCTAAGAGTAAACAGCAGAGAATGGAATAAAAACATCATCACTCGCCGAGGAAGAAAAAGTTCAAAAGTCAACAGGAAAATTGATTCTTAAAATTTTCTGGGATTCTCAAGAGCCAGGATTGGAACAGTATCAGGAAAATGGTTCAACAATTAACAGTGCTCATTACAGTGAGATCCTCACTAAAGAGCTGAAGCCTAAACTTGTGATTCAAAGTAGAGGACTGCTACCCAAGGGTGTTATAATCTTGCATCACAATGCGTGTCCACACATGTCTTCCCACACTGTTGAGACTCTCGAAAAACTTTATGACGTGTTAAAGCATCCACTCTATGCTCCATTGGCCTTTCATCTGTTTGGTCCCCTGAAAGCAGCCCTTTGAAGATGAAGGTTCATCTCTGATGAAGAAGTGAAGACAGTAGTACATTCTTGGCTCACAGCTCAGCCTCAAATATATTTTTTTTAACAAGGGAATAAAATAGCTGGTTGACAGGTGGACAAAGTGTATTGAAAAGCAAGGATATTATATCGAAAAATGACGTATTTGTCTTTTTAAGAATTGCTGAAAATTTTCTATAGCCAAAGTGTGGATAATTTTCTACTTTTATGTTGTTGTTTTACAAAAAAGGTTATTTGCAATGAATAAGTCATTGGTCTTGTAAAATTCTATCATGATATCTCTAGCATCATTTCTACCACCAAGACCATATTTTCCAACTACCGATCCTTTCTCTTTGTTTCCATCCTTTGCATTCCAATAACCAGTAATGATCAATACATCTTGATTACACGTTTGATCCATTTTCAGACTGAAGAAGTTGGAAGAATTATTTAATTTCATCATTACTGGGTTTAGCGGTTGGTGCATAAACTTGAATAACTGTGGTATGTATTATTAATAGGTCTTCCTTGTAGGTGCCTGAATATTATCCTATCACAGACAGCATTGTACTTCAAGATGGATCTTGAAATATTCTTTTTGATGATGAATGCGACGCCATTCTTTTTCAACTTGTCATTTCCAGCAGAGTAAACCATGTGATTGTTAGATTCAAAATGGCCAGTATCAGTTCATTTCAGCTCTCTAATGCCTAGGATATCGATGTTTATGTGTACTATTTCATTTCTGACACCTTCCAATTTTCCTAGATTAATACTTTGTACATTCCTTGCTCCAATTATTAATGGATGTTTTCAGCTGTGTCTCCTCATTTTGAGTTGTGCCCCATCAGCAAATGAAGGTCCTGAAAGTTTTACTCCATTCGCGTCATCACGGTCAAACCTTCTTTGAGGAGGCAACTCTTCCCTAGTCATATTTTGAGTGCCTTCCAAATAGCGGGGCTCATCTCCCTGCACTGTATCAGACAATGACCTGGAGCTAGTCTTCATGCTTCAATAGTCAATACTCAGGTGCTCTCTGACACTGTTTTACTTCTGCTCATAAGGTTTTCAGTGGCTAAACATTTGGAAGTAGTCTGTCTGTTTCCTCCTTGTCTCAGTCTGGAAGTTCAGCTAAAAGCTGTCCACCAGGGGTGACCCTGCTGGTATTTAAAATACCGATGGCATAGCTTGCAGCATCACAGCAACATGTAAGCCACCACAGCACAATAATGGACAGATGAGTGGTGGAATAATTGTGCAGTAATTGTTAAATGGGAACCTAACTTGTTATGTCAAATTTCACCTTACACACACTAAACATTTTTTTTTTAAAGTCTTCACTATACTTTATGATGGTACCACTACAATGATACATTATAATTTAATGGATAAAAGGTTATTTGTACACTGCAAGCAAGCACAGATGAGAGAGGCCCAGACACTACCTATAGGAGAAAGTTGCTTAACAGCATCTTATTAAATAATAGTTCATTTATGCGATCACATAAATTATCTGGAACATTAGTGCTTATGGGAAAGAAAAAAAGAAGTTCTGTCCTGATTTCCATCACCACACTAGTTCTATGCAAAGTATCATTTTCCAGTGGTTAATAGAGAACAAGCTGGAAATTCGGTGCCAGTCAAAATAGTCAACCCACTCCAACCTATCTCTCCCATGGATTACAATGAAAACCTCTGAAGGAAAAAGCAGTTACTTGTGGGCAAAATACCTTAGCCGGAGGAACAGGGAGGAAAGTCAAAACTTGAAGGACAACCAGTAAGATAGTGAAACTGTGTGGTGCTGAAGACGGTAGAATGTTATCCTAAAATTGTTGAAAGAAAAAACAAAACAAAACAACTTTTAACCCAGAATACTCTATACAGCAAAGGTATCCTTCAGATATGAAAGCAAAATAAAAACATTCTCAGATGAGGAAAACCTAAGAGAATTAGCCACCAAAAGACTTGCACTAAAATAAATGTCATAGGAAGGTTCTAATGGCTGAAAAGAAATGGTACTTGGAACTTCAGGAATGAAGGCAGAGCAAAGTGAAAACATAGACATCTGGGCAAATATAACAGATTATTTGTCTCTTCTTAAATCCTTTATGACTGTTGAAAGCAAAAACTATGCCAGTGGTTTTCAATATATGTAGATGTAATAATACAATGGGAAAAATAACATTAAGGGGTAACTCAGGAAACAAAGTACAACACAGGGTAAGTTGTTGTTGTTAGATGCCATCGAGTCAATATCGACTTATAGTGACCCTATGCACAACAGAACGAAACACTGCCTGGTCCTGGGCTAATGTCACAATTGTTGCCACACTTGAGTTCATTGATGCTGCCACTTGGCCAATCCATTTCGCTGGGGGTCTTCCTCTTTTTCTCTGACCCTCCACCTTACCCAACATGGTATCCTTCTGCAGCGACTGGCCCCTCCTGACAATATGTCTGAAGTATGAGAGACGAAGTCTGGTCATCCTGGCCTCCAAGGAGCACTCTGGCTGCACTACTTCCAACACAGATCTGTTTGTTCTTTTGGCAGCCCATGGTACTTTAAATATTCTCCTCCAATACCATAACTCAAATGCATCAATTCTTCTACAATCTTCCTTATTCACTGTCCAGCTTTCGCATACATATGAGGATATTGAAAATACCATGGCTTGGGTCAGGCACACCTTCGTCCTCAAGCTGACATCTTTGCTCTTCAACACTTTAAAAAAGTCTGTGCAGCAGATTTGCTTAAAGCAATACGTCGTTTAATTTCTTGACTGCTGCTTCCATGAGTGTTGATGGTTGATCCAAGGAAAATGAAGTGTTTGACAACTTCAGTGTTTTCTCCATTGGTAAGAATGTTGTTTATTGGCCCAGTGGTGAGGATTTTTGTTTTCTTGACATTGAGATGCAATCCATACCGAAGGCTGTGGTCTTTAATCTTCATCAGTATGTAGTTTAAGTCCTCTACACTTTCAGCAAGCAAAATTGTACCATCTGCATATCACAGGTTGTTAATGAGTCTTCCTCTAATCCTGATGCCACGTTTTTCTTCATATAACTCAGCTTCTCAGAACATTTGCTCAGCATACAGGTTGAATAAGTATGGTGAAAGAATACAACCCTGTCTCACACCTTTCCTGATTTTAAACCATTTAGTTTTCCTGCGTTCTGTTTGAACAACTGTTTCTGGGTCTATGTACGGGTTCCTCATGAACGAACACAATTAAGTGTTCTGGAATACTCATACTTTGCAATATTGTCTATAGCTTGTCATGATCCACACAATCGAAAGCCTTTGCGTAGTCAATAAAGCACAGGTAAACATCTTTCTGGTATTCTCTGTTTCAGTCAAGATCCACCTGGATGATATCCCTTGTTCCAAGTCCTCTTCTGAATCCAGCTTGAACTTCTGGAAGTTCTCTGTCAGTGTATGGTTGCAGCCATTTCTGTATCTGCCACCACCCTACCCCACCCCACCCTCTGCCCAGGTAGGTAAAGGGTCCTATTTGGTTGCAAGGATTCAAGGTTTTATTTTAACTTGTAAAAAAATAACTCTAAATAAACTTCAAAAAGTTAGTTGTATTTATTGTAACTCTAGAGCAACCACTTAAAAATAATACAAAGCCAAAATGCCAATCGATAAATTAAAATGGAATATTAAAGAAATGTTTTTTTAAACCAAGGAATTCAGAGGAGACAAACAAAAACAATACAATGACAGCCCTCAGTCCAACCAGGCAACACCACATACATACATACAACATTACTGTAACTGAGGAAAACAGTAACTCAACTGTGGGCCTAGCGTTCTAACACTGACCTAATGCCTGCTGTAATGAGTTACGTTCTGTGGAGACTACCAGTACAGGTGCTTGTATGTTTACAATTAAATTTTAACATACCCTGTCGAAGAGTGCAAAAAGTTGTTTCAAGACATCTGAAACCGGCAATTTTAGATACTCCGCAAATTCTTCAATTCCAATCCTTCCCCCTTTTGAGGAACTGGCGATAGATGCATATTCATCCAAATGCTTACGAATTCCATCCCAATCTAACCTAAACAAAGAAAAAAACAGAAACCTGTTATTAGTGCTTTATGTTCACACAGATATTTTATGAACATTGTTTTATTAATTTATCTAAAGAGAAAATAGTTGGTGTTAAACTTGAAAAGGAATATGAAATAGGCATTTTAAACTACGTATTGAATATGCATGTAAGCATTTAAGTCTTAAATTAATCATCCCAAGTATCTGACAGGAATAAAGGTACCTCAATGTTGTGGAATAATAAATGACTCATGAGAAGAAAATAAGAAATCAAATTTTAATCTAAGTACTATACCAACTCCTCAATTATTGACCATCTAAAAATCTACCATCTGACTATTTTGCACATTAACAAAGTGGTGGGCATGGTGGCAGCAGATGCAAAGCATTTCCTCCCTGCAGGAGGGTTTCCAGGCAGTTTTTGGGAAACAGACCTTTTTGTCCTGCACCGGAAGCTGGGCTCCCTCAAGCAGGTGGGCAGTGGCACCACATCTAGCTGCCTCAGGATGAATGTATAAAAATAGCACTAAGCCAGCTAAGTACTGGTGTGGCGCTGTGGATTAATACATTGGACTGTAAAATTGGTTTGAATCACAAGGTTGGTGGTTCAAGCCCACCAGCGGCTCCTCAGAAAACTTATACAGGGTCACTACGGATTGGAACTGACTCGATGGCACTTAACAACAACATGCCAGCGGGCACCTGTTTTGGGTTTCTAGCTCCTGTATGGCCTGAGGTCCTTCAGCTCAACATTGCTGTGAGGTGTGAAGGGAGGAAAGAGGGGGGAAAAAGTAGGCATTTGAGAGTGTTTGGGAGAAGTAAGTGTGAGATTCAGTACATCACAAAGTGAGTGGAAGTGGGCCTGGCATGTGGCCCTGCTACCAGCGGCCTCAATGACTCTGGGACGGAGACCAGATGAACTGTACTAAGAGGGGGATGTTTACATCCTATGGTCCAAAGGCAATGTTTTACAAGGTTTCGACAAGATCTTAAAAACACACAGCAGGATTTTTGCCTGTTTTTTTGTTTGCTTTAAATTGGGCACCTACTTGAGGAAACGCAGTGGGCCTAGAGTATTTAATAGAAATACTGGTGGTGCAATGAGTAGATGCTCAGCTGCTGACCAAAAGGTTGACGGTTCAAATCCACCACAGAGAAATGCTCCCTCCATAAGGATTACAGTCAAGAAAAACCCTACTGGGCAGTTCTATTTCGTCATATGGGGTTGCCATGAGTTGGAATTGATTCAATGGCACCAAATAACAATAACAGAGTCTTTAAAATTCAGTCATGGTCAGAAATGTTACTATTCAAGTAAATTCGGATTTCACAAGTGAGGTTCTGCTTACCACAACATACCAGCATCATCTAATTAAACTATCCTCTTCTAAGGAGTACCTGAGTGGCGCAAATGGCTAATGTCCTCAGGCGTTTGGTTCCACTTGCAGGTGCTGTGGAACAGAAGCCTGATGATTTACTTCTGAGAACAGCCACTGAAAACTCTATGGAGCCCAGTTCTACTCTGACATAACCCTGGCTTCCCTGACAAATGCCATGTGAGTCTTAAAGCTCAGCATTAATAAAGCAAGAGAAAAGAAACATACAGGATTTCAGACCTCTGCTGGACATCTATAGGAAAGTGTAGTCATTTGAAATGTACTTACTTCAATTTCCGGCTAATTTTAGTAAATTCCACCAACCCAGCTTCCATAGGCAATGTTAGCTGTCCTGCTGAAATCATCAATCTACAATCTTCATAGGTGTGATCTGTTACTGGTATTCTCAGAGCACTAAAAGTATTAAAAAGGAAACGTAAACGTAGTGCTTAAGACATGTAATGTTTTTTCATTGGGCTTGAACTGGTCAGCAAGCAACAGTAGATGAAAAGGATTTACTACTTTTTCAACCAGTCACTGGTTTTTTTATTCCCTAAAAAGATTGATTTCTCTACTTTGTCACTGATTTACTGTGCCCTGAGTTAATCTCCTTAGGCCCACTTGCTTTTGTCTTTCTTGGTTCAATCTTGGTATGTGCTCTAACTATAACTAAATAAATAGCTGACTTTAGTCTCACGGAAACTAATTATAAAGTACATTTAACCTAAGTCTAAGTTTTCTCATCTGTACATAGGAGTAATGCTTACTGTGTGTAAGGACACACTAAGAAGGTGAATGAAGTACATGGCCACACAAGCAATCCATCTATACAAACCTCTGGCCATATGTGTACTCTGATTTTTAAAAACTGGAAATCATTTTCATGCTACATATCAATCTTCTGGAAATGTTTCTTCCAATCCTAAATGGCTTCCCTCCTCAAAGGAGAGCTTAACCTCCACTATTCACCTTTCGTCCCCCAGACCTGGTGATAGTGAACTCGATTTGAAAAAGCATTTAATAATATGCAGTAAGACAAAAGCAAAGACACTGAGTACCAAGAAGAAAAGCTGCACAGATCATAAAATCATTTCTTGAAGGTCTCACTTCACTAGATTTTGATTTCCCATTATTCAGTGAAAATCATAAAATCAGGTTTGCAACTATACTTGATTTTGTCGAATCAATGCTAGCAACATAAGTTCGGAAAACTGCAATCAGAATTAAAACATTTTATATATATATATAATTAGGTTGTTTTTGATGAATAAATATTTTGGCCTAAGGACACATAAGATGGAAAATAAAAATAAAAAAATATCCCAGGAATTGTCATTGTAAATAGTATCACATAATAGTTTGGGCTTTGGTAATGGACATGTGGGTTTCGGTCCCAGCCCAGACACTCGGTATCTAGTCTGATCTTGGGCAAACTACTGACCCCTCTGAGTTTCAGTCTCCTCAGTTACGTCATAGAGCTGCTATGAGGAGTATGTCAGATAACACGAGTAAAAAGCTAGGGTGCAGTGAATTACTTAGTCTGATGCTTCTAGATATGGTCTACATAACTTTCAACAAACAACTGCATAGGAATATGCAAATGTGAGGGGCTTGTGGTCCACCAAGGGAATTGGACAGTTTACTAATAACGCCTGGCCTCCACCTCAGAGGATTCCGTTTGGGGCAGCTGCTCCTGATCTTAATTCTCAATCCTCTTCCCTTGTGAAGTTAGAGGAGGTCAGAAGCTACCCCAGGCCCCTTTTATAGTTGGTGTCAGGAGTGAGAGTGGCTACAAACACTCTAGATTCACAGACTATGGAATGTCGTAAGAGCTAATGAAAGGGAGTGGAAAGAGAAACGAAATTTTTTGAAACTTGATTCTTAGATGGTTACTTTGGTGGTTGTTACCTGTAATTCCTGTTATGTTGCAGTCTCAGGGGAAAATGTTTTATCTGGAACAAAAGCCAGACTTCTTAAATAAGATAACTGATGGGGGCAACGGTCTACTGGTTTCGCCCAGCCAGAGGCCCAAGCCCATAGGCATTTGAGTGGGAAGATAGTCAAGGTGTGAAGAAGAAAAGATGAAACTGGAATGTTTTAAGAAGGTTTATGTGTTTATTTGAATGGACTATGTTGTTGTTGTTGTTATGTGCTGTGGAGTCGGTTCTGACTCATAGCGACCCTATACAGGGTTTCCGAGGCCGTAAATCTTACGGGAGCAGAACGCCTCATCTTTCTCCTGCAGAGCAGCTGGCAGTTGTTGTTAGGTGACCTCTATTCATTTCTAACTCATAGTGACCCTCTGTACAACAGGATGAAACACTGCCCAGTCCTGAGCCAACCTCATAATTGTTATATTTGAGCCTATTGTTTCAGCCACTGTGTCAATCTCGTTGAAGGTCTTTCTCTTTCTCACAGACCCTTCACTTTACCAAGTACGGTGTTCTCCAGGGATTGGTCCCTCCTTGTAACATGCCCAAAGGAAGTGAGACCATCGTGACTTCTGAGGTGCAATCCAGCTGCACTTCTTCCAAATTAGATTTATTATTCGGATAGTCCATGGTACAGTCAATATTCTTTGTCAACACCATAACTTAAATGCATCAATTCTTCTCCAGTCTTCCTTATTCATTGTCCAGCTTTTGCATGCTATTATGTGGTTGAAAATACCATGGCTTGGGTCAGACACATCTTAGTTCTCAGAGTGTCATCTTTGCTCTTTAACACCTAACAAAATCTGTTGCAGCAGATTTGTCCAATGCAATACGTTTTTCGATTTCTTGACTGCTGCTTCCATGATTGCTGATTGTGGATCCAACTATAATGAAATCCTTAACAACCCCACACTTTTCTCCATTTATCATGATGCTATTTATTGGTTAAATTTTGAGGATTTTGTTTTCTTTACAATGAGGTGCAATCCATACTGAAGGCTGGATTCTTTGATTTTCATCAGTAGGAGTTTCAAGCCCTCTTCACTTCTAGCAAGGAAGGTTGTGTCATCTGTACATTGTAGGTTGTTAATGAATTTTTCTCTACTTTTGATGCTTCCTAAAAGATTCAATATTTTCCCCACAGAATCTTTCATTACTGAAAGCCAAGGCTTGAATTGAGAAATGCTGTGCTCTTTCCTTTTGGTTTTCTATCTCCAGATATTTGCACATTTCAGTATAATACTTTGTCTTCTTGAGCTGCCCTTTGAAATTTTCTGCTCAGCTCTTTCACGTCATCATTTCTTCTATTCGTTTGAGAGATTCTTGTTTATTCACAGGCTTCAGAGTCTTCTGACACCTACTATGGTTTTTCTCTCTCTTTCCTGTCTTTTTAATGACTGTTTGCTTTCTTCCTGAATGAGGTTCTCGTCTTCGATCATTAGTGCTCAATGTATCAAATCTGTTTCTGGGATTTGATCCTGTCTCTAAAGTCAGGATCGATATACTGATTTGACTCACATGGACTTGTTCTACGGAATCCTGGTGGCACTGTTGACTGCTAAACACAAGGCCGGTGACTTCACAGAAGAAAAATGAGGCTGTCTTTCTGCTTTTGTAAAATTTATAGTTTCAGAAACCCTATTGTTTTTGTTAAGTGCCATAGAGTTGGTTCTGACTCCTAGAGACCCTATATAGAGTTTCCAAGGAGATGGGTTTGAACCACTGACCTTGGGGTTAGCAGTCCACTACTTATTCTACAACGCGATCCCAGGACCCCAGGAAATCCTATATAGGGTCTCTAAGAGTCAGAATCAATTTTATGGACAGTGTGTGTGGTGGGGGGTGGGGGTGGGAGTTGAATTTGGGTTTGGACTCTTTAATTTTCTTCCGCTTCAGAATGAACTTACGTATGAGCAATTCATGGTCTGTTTCACAGTTGGCCCCGGCCTTGTTAAGGCTCACACTACTGAACTTCTCCACTGTCTCCTTCCACAGATGTAGCTGATTTCATCCCTTTGTATCTGTTTGGTAAGGTTCATGTGTATACTCAGTGCTTAGACTGTATGGGAGATATTAAACATTTCTTCCTGATGTTATTAACCATGGAGTTGTTAAGAACCATGGAGTTGGTTCCGAATCATAGTGACCCTGTACAGGGTTTCTGAAGCTGTAAATCTTTACGGGAGCAGAAAGCCTCATATTTCTCCTGCGGAACAGCTGGTAGTTTTGAACTGCAGCTCGATTCCTAACGACTACACTACCAGAGCTCCTTTCCTAGTGTTATAGCACACCTAAATGTATGATTGTTGTTGTTGTTAAGTGTCCTTGAGTGGGTTTTGACTCAAAGTGACCCTGTATAGGGTTTCTGAGGAGCAGCTGGTGGGTTTGAACTGCTGACCTTGTGCTGATCGTACAGCATCACACCAGGAGTCCAAATGTACGATAGAAATGAACATTGAATATAATAAATCATAGATAGCATGTACACTGTCTTCAGACAATACTTGATTGGCTGTGCTAAAAGGGGAACTAGGATTTGCCTGGAAGAAACACAGGCTGTTGGTTTGAATATAGTAGCCCTGTTTATAGACTATAGAGCCCCGGTGGCGCTGTAGGTTCAGTACTAGATTGCTAACCACAAGGTCAGCAGTTCCAATCCACCATGGAGCCCTGCCCAGATTCTTTCAGTCCAGAAACTTGCATTTGAAAAGGCAAACAGACCTACTGTGCACTGCTGAGAGAACTGGAGCATACATCTGAAGGAAGCACCTACAGCACAAACAACTGTTTTATAGGAAATGGAAGCAAATACTGTTGAATGATGATGCAGAGAGGAGACTGTAATCATTGCAATGAAATCAGGAGTATAAAACTGATATTCTCCCATGTAAACTATCACTTGATTCACAACAAAAACTTAAAAAATTAAAAAAAAAAAAAGACTGTTTTGCTTTTTTGAATTTTGAGCAAGTGGTTTACTGCTGGATGCAGAGAAGTAGGAAAAGGCTGTCCATCAGAACCTCATTCCAGAAGAACAGAGTTAAAGTGAGCTGGTGAGCAGACAGCCTGGGATGCTTGTTTGTGGTGACCACCTGAGTCCACCTGATGGATGGGAGTGAGGAGAGGCAGCAAATGAAGAGACAAGTTGAGGTTAGAAGTGATTGGCTGGCACCCGATGACCTAATTAATCCATGGAAGCTAGGGATAGGAAAAAGGGAGCGTATGGATTCCAAAGCTTATATGGCTGGTAGTTTTTAACAGATGTAGCTTGAATGGCTATGGACGAATTGACCAGAACTGGACTAGATGATTCTTCAGATCAAAAATAATGCTTGTTTCCCAGAGTACTTGTTTGATAGGTTTGGGCAATTTAGAAATTGGCTGTCTAAAACAAGGGGAGATAAAGGCATGGAGTGGCTGGCATACATGCTTTCATGGGTGTGCTTACATTTTAAATTATTTGGAGTTGGAAGTTAATCCTTTAAGTATGAAAGAGCCAGTGGCCAGATAGTGAAGGGGTGGCGTGTGGTGCACTGAATTACTTAGTATGACCCTTAAAACCACATAGTCTTTGTAACGCCCACCAAATGACTGGCTAGGAATATGCAAGTGAATGGTTGTTGCTGTAAAGTGCTATCGAGTCTGTTCCAACTCAGTGACTCTGAGAAGTGGCTTGTGGGTATGAACCACCAACCTTGAGGCTAGCAGTCCAGAACCCCAGGCAAATGGGTAGCTTGCTACCATTTGTACCATATAAATCAAGTACATGGCACCTTTGTGGGGGGTGGGATCATGCAAATAAGGAATATGGAGTCCTAATGAGGGGATTGGTCAGTTCTGCCATAGCATTAGGCTTCAAATGAAGCATCCCAACGGTGGAAAGGGAATCTCACTACCATCAGAAAGAAGAGCTAGAAGTGGAGCACATTCTTTGGATCCAAGCTCCCTGCGCTGAACCTCCTCAATCTAGGAGACAGACAGAGAGCTGTGACACCAGAGACGGCAAGAAACAGTGGTGGGGAAGTGTGGTGGGGAAGTGGTGGCAGCAGAACCAAGAGACGGGCAGGGGATGGCTCAATCAGCTTCCTGATTCACAGTACAAGACAGCCTAGGGGCAGGTGGCTTGCTGGTGGAGCCTTCAGGCTGAGGCTTACTACTGGGTTGGAGTGCCACTGGGCATTTGCTCCACAGAGCTAAAACAGAGTGCCTATAGGCACAGCTGAGAAGAGGCTGTCCTGAGTCATTTCTGATGCTGAATTATAACTAGTTACTTCCTTAAAGCACTTGAATGAGTCTTTGTGAGCTCGCGGTGACCACTGCTATGAATTATGGAGCCCAGCAGAGCAGTAGAGAGGGCCATAAGAGAGATGGTTGGTGTCAGAATTGGTATAAAGGTTGGAGGGTGGGGCCTGTCATGGGTGGTTGATGCTGATGATCTTTATTCTCTCCCCTCCCATCTTGTGTAGCTATATGAGGTGAGATGCTGCCCCACACCATTTTCACAAGGGCCTAGATAAGCACTGGACCAATCGAATCTATTAGCTGCTCTTTGGGAGGAAGATGAGGCTCTCTGATCTCATAAAGATTGACAGCTTCGGAAACCCTATACCCGGTCGCTATGAATGGGAACCGACTCGGTGGCACACAATCACCACCACCACCATATATTAAGCAAGGAGGCCTCGTGGCCCTGCAAATCCTGTCATTGTTTTTAATCATATTTTGGTAAGCCAAAATATCTGATCTAAATTCTCTCAGATCCTAGCACTCATGATTGGTTCTAACTTTAGGGCATAAGCTAACAGGAAGGCATAGGAAGAAAGAGGAAAAAACAGTACAGATGCAAATTTTGTAATTGGTTTAGAAACTAGACGAAGCAAGCATATCTAGGTACATGTATCAGCAGCATGTTAGGCTAAACAGTTCATCTTTTCTGAGAAGACAAAGGATCCTACTGTGAAAAACGATGACTTGCTTTCTCTTTCTATATGTTAAGGGACTGACCACATCCCTGGGCACAGTGGGCAATGTCATCCTCAGCAGAACACTAAGCTAAATGCCACTTACTAGTAATTTTTTAATTACTTACTGACTAGAAGGACATAGAGACACTTACTCTGCCATGATATTCCGCACTCTACTGGCAAAAAGGACAGGATCCCTCTTTTCTTCATCATTAGGGACTTGAACAGGCAAAAACTGAAAAGACAAATGTATCTCTCCATAACAATCCTTATGCCTAAAGCATTAAATGCTAAAGAATCAAATGAAAACGACCAGGAGCCCTGATGGTATAATGAAAGGTTAAGCACTTGCCTGCTAACTAAGAGGTTGGGAGTTTGAACCCATGCAGCAGCTCCATGGAAAAAAAGATCTGAAAATCTGCTTGTGTAAAGATTACAGCCTAGAAACCTTTCTGGAGCACTGGGGTCAGTATTAGTCAGAATCGACTTGATGGCACCTAACAACAACAGACACATCCTCCTCCTCATGATGTTAAATCCATACTGCCCCCAGCAGAGGCTGTAGGATGTGAAGGAAGAGCCTGCCTCCGAAGTCTGTAGCCAAATCCTGGTTCTGTTTGCATATGCCCAGCACAGTGGTTACGAGTCGGGCTGCAAACATCAAGGTCAGCGGTTCAAAACTACTAGCCATTCCACTGGAGAAAGATGAGGCTTTCTGTTCCCATAAAGATTTACAGCCTCAGAAACCCTAGGCAGGGACGCTGTGAATTGAAACTGACTCCACGACACACCATCACTCATACCAGTGGACCACTGAACTTTCTCTGGGTCTTCTGAATTCTAAAAGGAGGGCTGTGTGCCCTATGTCTCTGGATTGTTGTAGGGATGAAATGAACCAGTGTCTGAGAAGGAATTCTGAATGCTGTAAAGCTACTGAGATCTTATTCTTAGAGCTGCATTTTCCACTACTCACTATCCACTTATTAAAATGTCTATTTTTGTGTGAAAATGTTTATTTTTGTGTTTTATATATCTTCTCTATCCGTTCCAATGTCAACCATTTATTCTTATATATTTATATTTTTATCACTACCTCTAATTTTGAGTCTCAGCGTGGACTGCTAACCACAAGGTCGGCGGTTCAAATCCACCAGCTGTTTCTCAGAAACCCTATACAGGTCACTATGACATGGTAGCACAGCAACACGAATCTAATTTTGTTTTGTTATTTTTTTCTGACAGTTTTTCCTGTCCTTATTTTTATTTATAGTTTTCCTACATAACACAAGTTTGGTGTCACATTCAAATCAATGCATATGTTGTGATTACCATATATAAACCCACTGTCATTGAGTATTCTGACTAATAGTGACCCTATATAGGGATTGTTGGAAGTTGTGTGCTGTGGAGTTGGTTCCAACTCATAGCAACCCCTTATAGGGTTTCCAAGGGTGTAAATCTTTACGGGAGCAGAAAGCCTCATTTTTCTCCCATGGAGCAACTGGTAGTTTCAAACTGCTGACCCTGAGGTTAGCAGCTCAACTCGTAACCATTACACTTATCTTTCTCCTGTGGAGAGGCTGGTGGGTTTGAACTGCCAACATCATGGTTAGCAGCTCAGTGCTTATCCTACAGCGCTATTCCTGCTCTAAAGGAGACCACAGTTTAATAGGGAAGACCTGTATCAATAACCCCATATGCTAAGTAACTTACTCCTTATTTCTCCCAATTACAGATGGGGCTTAAAAGCCTAATTAGCTTGTCCAAGTTCAGATCGGTCACACACCTGACTCAGTTCAAGGTCTTTCAGATTCTAAAGCTCCTGTGTTCCCCACTAACCCATCCTTCCTGGAATATGAGAGCGATAGGGAGGAAATGATGGATTTTGTCAGGGGGCAGGAAAAAGCAGCATCCACCTTTCCCCAAACAAAGGCCACTTGAATCTTGAATTTTAAGAATAACTATGATTTCTCTAATTCATAAACAAAACCCAAGCCCACTATTGTGAGCTGGTTCTGACTCACAGTGTCCTACAGGACACATTAAAACTGCCCCTTCGGGTTTATAGAACCAAACAGCTACATCTTTCTACCGCAGAGCAGTTGGTGAGTAGGAACTGCTGCCTTTGTGGTTAGCACTTTGCTTACAAAACAAACCTATGCACTTTAATCACTGTTCCACCAGGACTCCTGTTTCACTAATAGAAGAACTAGTTACTTAATTAGCACTATGAACATGCACCAGGCTGAGTGCTTTATATGTGTTATTTTGTTTCATTTCATTAAGCCTCCCCCATTTTAATCAAAAGAAATTGTGGTTCAGAAAGACTTACCCAAGAGTGCCTCGCTCAATTCCATTAGAAAAATATAGCTTTACAAAACCAAACTCACTACCATCAAGCCAATTGTGGCTCAGGTAGCATAGTGGTTACGAATCGGGCTGTGAAGCGCAGGGTCACAAGTTCGAAACTACCAACTGTTCCACAGAAGAAAGATGAGACTTTCTGCCTCCCATAAAGATTCATAGCCTTGGAACCCCTGTTACAGGGTCACTAAGAGTCTGAACCAACTCCACGGCACATAACCACCACCACCCACAGGGTTTCCGAGACTATGAATCTTTAAGGGAACAGATAGCCTCATCTTTCTCCCAAGGAGTGGCTTGTGGATCTGAACTGCTGACCTCGCAGTTAGCAGCCCAACACTTACCCTACAGCACCACCAGTACTCCAACAGAGCTTGGAGTCCTGGTGTGGTACTGTAGACTAAGTACTGGATCACAAGATCAATCTGAACATTTCCAAAGGATAAATAAAGTATGAGGTCCAAAAGGCGGGCTTGATGGCAGATAGGGTAGAGGTACAATGAAGTTCAACATCAACAATACCACAGAATACCAGGTGAAGTGGGTTCAAGGCAGAGCTCCAAAACTTTGAACCACAGAGGTAGGAATATTTTTAAAGTTTGAAGGCTTAAAGCTAGTGGAACTTGTAGTGGAAGTAAGAAATTGCGTACTTTTGAATCTGCCCATCTTGGCTGCCTAGAGCCGACAACTTGGGCAAGAGCAAATGGAAAGACTAAGCAGAGGAACAGACCCACCAAGGAATAACGCCATGGGGACCTCGGAGCCAAGTTGGATAATACACTTTGTCGGTTTTGCTCTGATCTGATTTTCTTTGTTTTTTTGTTTTTGGTATCTGTTCACTGTTTGCGCACCTCCATTCTGGTGACTAGAAGGGGTGACTGACAACTGACAGAATGGACACCCACCACTGGTGGGTTCTTCTGCCATGCATGTGCACAAATACTCTCAGCCCAAGAGCTGGCCCTGAACTGTTCTTTAATAAGGAAAAGGCCAGACCAAGGGGTGTGGAGAGGGAAAGAGAGTTTACAAAACAGGCTGAAAATGAAATTAAAT